ATTTACCTCAGTGGCATTGCCCACTTATGGCTTCGGAACCATGAGACTGACGTTCCCACCTAGACAGCATTCAAGGCAAAGTTCAGCGAAGTCTTCGGTCGTCCTTCTGTCCGCAAACTTTGTGCGGAGCAGCGCCTTCAGTCGAGATCTCAACTGCCTGGTGAGAACTTTACAAGTTACATAGAATACGTCATTGACTTGTGCAAACGCGTCGATGTGAACATGACAGAGGTGGACCGCATCAAGCATACTTTTAAGGGTATTGACGAGGACGCCTTCCAGATGCTTATTTCAAAAAGCCATGCTACTGTCGCCCAAGTTACCGAGCTCTGCCAAAGCTATGATGAGCTCCGCCGGCAACGTCTCGTCACCCGCCGTGCTGTCCCACATCAGGAATCAATTTCCGGTTTAACTCCCTCGCAAGACCCCGTCCTCTTCTCGCAGATCAAAGATTTCGTGCGCGAAGATGTTGCCCGCCAACTCTCGCTCATCTCTGGCCTACCGGAGCGCAGTGCGCCGCTTAGCCCTACTCTACGGACTATTATACGAGATCAAGTGTCTGAGGTCCTTCCTCCGCAGCTGGTGCCACCAGTCAATGCACCAATGACGTACGCCGAAGCAGCAGCACGATTACCACCACAGACGTTCAAAGCGCAGCCTCCCCTGCCGGCTCCTGTTTTTGCTGCCCAGCCGCCACGACCTCCAGTTCGCCGAGTCCCTCTATGGCGCACTGCCGACAACCGACCGATCTGCTTTTCGTGTGGTCTACCTTGGCACGTCACACGTCTGTGCCGCCGCCACCCACTCCACTCACGTGAAAACCCACGTCGATGTGAGAACGATTACACGTACACTCAATACACTCCAGACCCCGCATTGTACGCTCCTCGACCAAGCCACTGACCAGCTCCTGATCGCCGATCTCCTTCTCCACGTTGACGCTCGCCCTCTCCGATGCGCCGACGCCCCCTAATATCGACGCGGAAAACTAAATGACGCAGTTCCCGAGGCAAGAACTGCGTCCTCGTCGCAAAGCACAAGACCTCTTCGTTCACTGCCGAATGTAATTAATGCCGTTCTTGAAGGTGTACCCATACTTGCCCTTATTGATACTGGTGCCGCAATTTCTGTCATCGCCGAAAAAGTTTGGGGTTCAATTTGAAAAGTGACAATGCCTTACTTGGGTTCATGTTTTTACACTGCCACTGCACAGCCTGTGCATCCTGTGGCCGCGTGTACTGCCAGACTTGTAATTCAAGGAGTGCCCTACACAGTGCAGTTCGTAGTACTCCCGCACTGTTCTCATGACATCATTTTAGGTCGGGATTTTCTCTCCCATCACCAAGCCGTCATTAATTGCGCCCGTGCCGAAGTCGCCTTTTGTCCCCTTGGTGATGCGCTACCAGTGCACGATCGCCCTTCCGACGCGAAGTTGGTCATTAGTGACGACACCCAAATCCCTCCACGCGCTACTGTCTTCGCACCTGTGTCGTGTTCCACCGTCGTCGACGCTACCGCATTCTTCACGCCTTCCGCTGCTTTCGTTCATCGCCACTTATCACCGCTCCCAACCGCTCTCCTTACTCTTCAAGGTGGTGCGACCAACGTGCCTGTGGAGAATCCGTTCCCATTCACGAATACGCTGCTTCGAGGCGAATGTATTGGTTCGATAGAATCACTTGAAACCATCGCTACACTTGACGTTTCTGATGAATCATCGGAAGTTAGTGCCCTCTCGTGTAGTTCCGTGAATGACCCTTCCACTACCGACATTTTCAACCGTGTCATCGACGAAGGCCTAAACCCACAACAGAGGTGTGAGCTTTCGAGCCTCCTTGACAAGTTTCGGCCATCTTTTGACAGTCACAACGCTACTTTAGGTCGAACGTCTACCGTATGCCACCAGATCGACACAGGTAATCCCCCACCACTACGGCAGCGACCATACCGTGTTTCACCGACTGAACGCCGTGTCATCGATGAACAAGTAGGTGACATGCTAAAGCGAGGCGTCGTTCTACTATCAAACAGTCCTTGGGCGTCGCCAGTTGTTTTAGTTAAAAAGAAGGATGGCAAGATACGCTTTTGCGTAGATTATCGTCGCCGAAACAAAATAACACGAAAGGATGTTTATCCTTTGCCTCAAATCGATGACGCCCTCGACTCTTTACAAGGCGAAGAGTTCTTTTCCTCCCTTGATCAACGCTCTGGGTACTGGCAAGTGCCCATGAATCCGGATGATAGGCGAAAAACTGCCTTTGTTACACCAGACGGCTTATACGAATTTAATGTGATGCCATTCAGCCTATGCAATGCGCCGGCACTATTTGAGCGCATGATGGACAGACACTATCCTATGAGACCTCAAATGGAACACGTGTTTGTGCTACTTAGTCGATGTAGTGGTATTCTCGCCCGATTTTCTCACGCACCTTCGTCGCTTGGAACAGGTTCTACGCTGCCTCTCTGCAGCAGGCCTCCAACTCAACTTGAAGAAGTGTCACTTTGGAGCGCGCAAGCTGACCATTTTCGGACACGTCGTGTCGAAGGATGGCGTTCTTCCTGACCCCGCTAAGCTACGCGCTGTTCACGAGTTCCCGAGGCCCGCGTCTCTCAAGCAGCTGCGTAGTTTCAATTGGCTTTGCTCATACTTCCGCCGCTTCGTCCGGGATTTCGCCTCGATCATGGCGCCTCTGACAGACCTACTTCAGGGAGACCACAATCTATCTGCGTGGTCTCAAGCCTGCGACAGTGCCTTTGCGAAACTCCATGAACTGCTTACAAACATCACCCATACTGCGTCATTTCGATATAAGCGCTCCCACAGAAATCCACACAGATGCTAGTGGTGTCGGTCTTGGCGCTGTACTCGCCCAACGAAAGCCTGGTTACCATGAATATGTTGTTGTGTACGCGAGCCGCACTCTTACAAGAACAGAAGCAAATTATTCGGTAACTGAGAAAGAAAGCCTAGCGATTATCTGGGCCATTACAAAATTTCGGCCTTATCTGTATGGCCGCCCTTTAGATGTTGTTACTGACCACCATGCACTCTGCTGGTTATCCTCCCTCAAAGATCCCTCAGGACGCTTGGCACGATGGGCTTTACGGCTCCAAGAGTACGACATCCGTGTCATTTATCGCTCAGGCCAGAAGCACGCCGATGTCGACGCTCTTTCGCGTTCGTCTGTTTCTACTGATATCGCGAGTGTCTCCATCCAACACAACTTCCTTCCACTATCAGGACCCATCAACGTGGCTGCGGAGCAGCGCAAAGATTCGTGGATTGCGTCTCTAATGGATTACCTATCTGAAACACTTGCCCACCCATCATCTCGAGCGCTACACCGACAAGCCTCTCCCTTCGCCATCCGTGATTGAATACTTTATCGCCGCAACTACCACCCTGACGGTCGCAAATGGCTACTCGTCATACCCAGGCATCTCCGTGCCAGCATATGTGCTGCTTTCCATGCCGATCCGCAGTGTGCGCACGCCGGTTTGTTTGAAACCTACGACAGGCTACGTTTTCGGTTTTATTGGCACGACATGTACGCATTCGTTCAAAAGTACATTCAATCTTGCACAGAGTGCCAACGCCGCAAGCACAATCCTAGCCGTCCTACTGCACCAATGCAGCCGTTACCATGCCCAGTGCGACCATTCGACCGGGTTGGAATAGACCTTTATGGTCCTCTACCATATACATCAGCTGGGAATTGCTGGATTATTGTAGCGATCGACCATCTCACGAGATATGCAGAAACGGCCGCTCTACCAGCCACGACGGCACGTGACGTTGCGTCTTTCCTGCTGCAACGTTTTGCTCTGCGTCACGGCGCTCCAGGTGAACTTTTGAGCGACCGAAGCCGCGTCTTTCTCGCGGATGTTATTCAAGAACTTCTTGCAGAATGCCATGTGATGCACCACTGTACTACCGCATATCGCCCACAAACAAATGGCTTGACCGAGCGTTTCAACCGTACTCTTGGCGACATGCTTTCTATGTATGTCGCCTCCGACCACACCAACTGGGATCTTATCCTTCCCAACGTAACATACGCTTACAACACGGCACCTCAAGCGACGACTGGCTTTTCTCCGTTCTTTTTACTTTATGGTCGAGAACCATCATCTCCAATCGACACCATTCTCCCCTACCGACCCGACTCATTCCGAAGGCACACCAGTTTCCGAAGCGGCGCGGTATGCGGAAGAATGTCGACAATTAGCTCGCACCCTTACAACACAAGAACAAGGGCTACAGAAATTTCGTCACGACGATGAACGGTCCAACTACCAATTTTAGCCCAACTCTCTTGTTTGGCTGTGGGTGCCCCCCAGTACTGCTCCTGGTACCTCTACAAAGTTTGTCAGCAGGTACCATGGACCTTATGGCGTCATAGAACAAACTTCCACTGTTAACTACCTCATCGAACCCCTCACGGCAACTGTGGACCTGCGTCGCCGAGGCCGCGAAATCGTACATGTGGATCGCCTCAAACCATATCACGAACCACTTGTCCTCACGACACCTTAGAACACTTACTTGGCACCATCTTCAGCGAGGGGGAAATATATAATGATGAATGTAGTGGGTCATGCAGATCTCGGGAAACACATTGTCAGTGCTGAGCACGAGACGCTCAGCCCGGACTGTCGCTGATTTCAATAGCTAGGCCTACGCTTCTACCTGGTCTCAAATAACAGTTTTGACTGTCTCAGTTCTTTATTATGAGCGGAATTCCTTTCGTTACACGTGTGATTGGAGGGCTATTGTGAAAGCCTGTGTGGATTTTCTACATTACGTGAATTGTTTACCTGCACCAGTCTTTGTAGTGGAGTACCACATGTCGGTGTAATAGTAAAATGACGAGAATAAGTATGTTAATGTAAATCTGCTAATTCAATGTCATGTGAGGGTGCCTGTCTCTCTTCAGGAGCATGATGCGTTAGTCGTATTGACTGCAGACGCAGTAAGAAAAAAAATTTCGCTGCGCTGAAATTGAAAAAGCCCCTTTATTGAAATATATATTGGTGAATAACTATGTTACGGTTGATGGCTTGCTATTCTAGAGTTGGTAAGTTAAAATCACTCCATGCATTGTCACCTTGTCAGTACTTTATCCACTACCTAGGACCGCCTTTGCTGCTGCACTAGCTGCTGCTGCTGCTGCTGTTGCTGGAGGAGTCCTTTCACGGACTTCTGTTGTGAGTCTGAACTCACGGATCCGAGTGCGAAAGATCTCTTCATTGCAGCTTGGTTCGACTGCATCAATCGCTGAGATTTCCGATACGAATTCGTATCAGAGCTCGAGCCTTTACCCAGCCCAGATTCTAGAATTTGTTCATTCCCCAGACCCGCTCTCTTTTGATTGAAACTTGATGCCGACAAGCTTTTTTGGTCGACCGCTTGCTGTGTTGCTACATTACCCTTGCGTATTCCGCTGAGGAATGCACTTTGGCTAGACTGACCGACGCGCTGTTGCTGGCCTTTGGAAGAAGTGCTAAAGCCGGACAAACCGACGGACTGCCTTAGTACCATTTGTCCTTGGCCGCCAAGCTGGTTGCCTGTCAGCTCATTGCTTCCTCGTTGGAGTGACCCGATGCTCTTCACACTTTGACTCCTCTGCTTTTGAGATTGCTGCAGCAGATTGTTCTTGCCTTGTTGCTGGAACGCAGCTCCCTTGTTTGACCACTGCTGTTGCTGCTGACCACCGAATGGCAGTCCGGAATGACGTCGCTGGCTGTTGGATGAGTGCTTCGAAGCACTGAAGCCACCATGTCCGCTGACCCACCGATGCGAACTGAAACTCTGCTGTGACTGGCGCCTCAGTTGACCGGAAGGTTCCTGAAAATGCACGCTTCGTAGAATCCCGCTCGACCCGACAGAGCTGAAGCGCGAATGCTGCGCGTGGTGTCCAAAACGCTCGATACTAGACAGCTGAGTTTTCCGCGTTTCAGAAGATGCACTGCCGAAGCTCGATGTGTGCCGCCTGAACCCAACAGCTGCACCTTTCAGGGAACCTTTCGGTTGAGAAGACTGCTGAAAGTCGCCACCGTTCAGACCAAAGGCACCATCATTCAGCAACCGTCGTGACTTCTGGCTTGTTTGTTGTTCCAGCATTGAGCTGCTACTGCCGCCTTTGAAACCTTTCGTTCCGGCGGACAACCGTCCACCCTGGAAGCCACCGAAAGACTCCCGTTCAGGAAAACGCCCTTTGAGGCTTCCCTTCAGACCATCAGTACCTTTGATGCCACCAAAGCGACTTTGTTTCTGGCTCTGCGCGAAGTCGCTCTTAGAAAACCCTTTCATTCCAAACTGGCTTCCGAAAGTACCCGTTATGCCACCGCTTCCTTTCACACCTTTCACTTGTCTGGACTGCTGACTTTGCAGCACGCTGCTCAAGGAACCTCCTTTGGTTGAGCCTTTAGCGAAGAGAGCTTGACCTGTTTTGATGCTCCCTAAGCCAAATGACTGCTGACTCTGCTTGGAATCACCCATTAAAGCACCTTTGACAATTCCTTTGGCCGACTGGCCTCTTAAACCACCTTTGATGCCTTTTATCTGGCTGGACTCTTCACTTATCATCGAACCCTGCAGGGACCCACCTTTCAGCGCGCTACTTCCTTTTACACTTTTTATACCAGCAGACTCCTGTTTATTCTGGAGGCTGCTCATGCCAAAGCCACCCTTGGCGAAATTTGAAAAACTATTGCTGCTCAGAGACGATGATCCAAAGCCGGCTTTGGAGCCGAAGGAAGACATGTCACCATTTGTAATTACAGATCCTCCCTTTGTGCCACCGAGCGAGCCCTTCACTGAAGAGAACCCCTTGGTGCCACCACTCCCGGAGTATCCGGGACCAAGTCCATTCTTTAAAGACCAAAGTTCCCGCTTTCAACTTCTTTGACGGATCCTTTGACGCCTCCTCCTTTGATTAACTGGGCCCCTGCGGTCAAAGAACGCAATAACAGGCAGTGAGAAAATCAGTTCTTTCAGCCAAGCTTGATGCTCATGGATGAGATACATCAAGGTATTTTTCATGACTCGCAAGCAACACACACGACCAAAAACCGTTCTTAAGTTCAACGCGGACAAATAAGACGGACCATAGACCACTTCGTACAGTTAGAAAATTGTTACAGCTACTACGATTTTGGGGACACATGAGGAAAAGGACTGTCACCCAGCTGCCATTATTATTTTTAAAGAGTTAAACGTTTCACAGAAACACCGGTGGGCGTCATTGGCTGTGAGCGAAAAATCAACATCTTATACGTGACCGAAAAATTGGGAATGATTTAGGAAAATAAATGTTAAGACCCTGACGCAGAGTAGGGAGCAAACCAAGGTTGTTTGGATCTCAGTGGGTATCGAACACGGACTGTTTGCGTGGTAAGCGGATGTTCTACCGCATGGCCACGCCGCTTCCAGGGCAAACAGGGTAATGAACTTCCTCTGATCAGAAATGAAGTGAAAGCAGCTTTCATGCTTCACAAACACACGCGTCCTGTATACATGCTTCACAATGCAACATGGAATATTGCAGTGGTACAAGCCTCAGTTGCCAACAAGCGTCAGAATATGCGATTATCATAATGGCGCCGTCATTGAAAGAAGGTGCCCCACTACAAAAGGCACATACGCAAACGCGTTTATTCCTTTAAGGCCACGCATAGAGGGTGCATAGCGAATTCGGAAAGGTTTCATGCGCTAAGTGTTTGAAGTACGCACTAAGAACAGGATGTCGCTATCGTGTTCAACTCCTAAAATAGAAGTTTTTATGTGTAACTTTATAAGGAAAACGGACGAGAAGTCGGTGTAAGATTTACATTGAGTCGGAGATGCTGCTTTTGCTCAGCCAAAGACGAGCTCCTTTTCAAAGAAAGGCCTCATCTAATCACTGAAGGGATCGCATGCAGTTATACGCAAGTCGGCATTCTCGCTTATGAGTTTACTCACTCAAGCTCACACTGCACTAACATAACCGTGAGCTTGAGTCGGAGTAAGTCACACTCAGCATATGTATTGCGAATCTGTGTCCGAATGAGCCCTAGGCAGAAGGTATATTTTCTGAATGAATGTAATGTTTACTTGCCCACTTTACAGTAAACCGTTGTAATGTTGTGGCTCGGTGCCAATGAATACGACGCGCTGCGTTCAATGCACGAGTTCCACATAATCAACTGCTTGGACCCAATAAGCTTTTTTTCATTCTTGCCAATATGGGTTCCGTAAAGGTTATTCTTGCGAAATGCAGGTGGCAGTTTTTCTGCGCGACTTATTGTAAACGTGGCGGCAACATTCGGAGTGAGCCTCTTTTCCTGGATTTTACAAAAACATTTGGGACAGTCGCTCACCAAGGCTTACTTCTGAAATTATATTTAATAAATGCAGATTCTAACGCACTTGAATAAATAACACCAATTCTGACTAATCGCTCCAAATTGATATTTGTTAACAATCCCTTTTCTAACCTACTATTTAGCGGTCCCGCAAGAGTTTTTCTTGGGACCTCTCTTTTTTAATTCATGTTAACAATTTACCTATAAAAGTAACTTGTAACTTTTCCATGTTCTGCAGATGACTGTAATTTACCGCTTCGCAACCCCCCACTAATGACCAAAAATATATGCAGTATGACCTTAACAATGCACAAAGTTGTGTAACCGTTAAGAAACAAACCTGAATTGCGATAACTGGAAGCCTTTTTTTTCCTTTCCCGCCGTCGTAACCCTTTCATGTTTACCAACTCAATCATTTATGTTCCTCTGCAGTGAGTTCAATTATTCCGATACATTGGCATCACTCTGTCTCATGACCTATCCTGACGTCATCTCTCTAATACCATCATTTCGACTGCTAATTAGGATTTCTTAGATGACACTTACGCCATACACTAAAACAAGGTAAAATGATTTGTTTTATAAATAACTTCTCAGGCCAAAGCTTGAGTATGCATTTTCCATCTGGAGCCCTCAACAAACGAGTCATGAATGAACTTGAGTTACTTCAAATCGGGCTATCAAGGTAAATATTTCTGCATATTCGCACGATATCAGCAACACGTCTTGAAAAACAGAATTTGATTTGGAAACGCTTGCCATCCGTTGACAGGTTGCAATCCTCTTTTTCATACGTTTTATTTGAGTTAACTGAGTGATACAGACTTCACGTACATTTCACACATGCCTAATCTCTGGTCATTCCCTTCAAGTTACTCTACCACAAACCCAGTTCACTAGATTTCAAGTATAATTTTTTATATGTGTAGAAAAAAATTGGAACAGCAATTCTCAAGCCACTTCTGACATCATTAACCCATCTGTTTCCTGAAGTTTTGTTCAAAGCATTCACGTGTAAATTTATTAAACATTACTCCTTGTGTAATACCCTTAAAAGATGACTTTAAAGAAATAAACTGCAGTGAAGACGCATATAGACCCTTTAGCTGTGTCCGCCGCGATGATGTAACGATTACAGTGCTCGGACGCCGACCCGAAGGTCTTATTTCAATGGAGGCGAAATTGTACAGGCCCATTTACTGTGCGATGTGGGTGCACTATAAAGGACCCCAGATGACCAAAGTTTCCGAAGCCCTTTACCACGTTGTCTCTCGTAATCGTATCGTGGTTCTGCGACATAAAATCCTAGATATTACTGCATCCTTCTGCTGTTTAGAAACCTATACTGTATGCGTCTTGAAAAGTTTCCTGTGTTATTCACGACGTAGAGGGCTTGGCTAGGCTCAGGAAACTGGCTTAAACCATTCGATGCTCGTTAAAAGCGCTATTGTTAGATCCTGACTTAATAACTCTCTTGAAAAGTCTTGTAACCAGAAGGTTTAGGGCAGCTTACTGAACTGAGCCAAGTGCTTGGCATAGTCAGCTTACCCAGTATGTGGGCTGAGCTTGGTCGCAGAGAGCTTGAGCAGAAAGCTAAAACACCCATATAAAGGAAATAGCCATCGTAAAGCACAAAGCAATTGGCCGCCTTGCCTATACTTGCATGGTGCTTCGCACAACTTCAGAAGGATTGCGGGAAAGTCAGGGGTGGATGTGGTCTTTTCAGCTCCCGAACATCTACAATAGTGGTGTTGATGTGTCAATTTTCGTTGTAACAGTGTAAACGCTTGCCTCGTTAATCATAGAATACTTTTTGTAAACTGTACTCACAACGTTATTCATGCTATTCTGCTTTCCCGTGGAAGAACCTATGTTGGTAAGACCGGCCAAGGTATCAATGAGAGATTGAAAGAGCATCATTATATTGTCACGAAAGCAATATCACGTCATCTGGGCATTTCTTGCCAAAATTGTGGATGCAAGCCGTTGTTCGAGAAAGTAGCAATCTTATTTAAGGACACCTGGCAAGATGGCAAGGTAGATTATAATGGCGTATGAAATTCCGAGATTATCAAACATGTGTCCTTAGCCAACTCTCAGTATCAGCTTTCTTCAAAAAGGGCTTTATTACCTTGATCTAACACAGTGACATGGCATTTTTAGCTATGTCGTGGCACTGCATTGTACACGTGCTCAGCTCAACAATGTGGAATCCATGAAAGCTTCTTCATGTGCATGTTATTTACTCTCGCTTGGTATATATTTATCGATTCGCGCAAGTATAAAAGATCAATTGAAAGTATAATGCTTTGTTCGTGTCAATACTCTTTATATTCTTGTCTGTTCGCAGCTTACGTACATATCATATATATCCAATGCATTTTTAAACAGATAAGCTGAGTGTACTATCAAAATACCCTGTGTCTGCTTTTTAACCTATCACTGCCGTTCTGTACCATACTAAAGGGGCAGAAAAAAGCCAAAGTGATTCCAATACGTGAGTCCGGAAATAAAAACGAACTTTCTAATTATCGGCCCATCTGATTATTATGTACGGTTGGTAAACTGCTCGAACACATTATTTTAACGCATGTAGAGGAAAACCTAGATGAACAAAAAATACTATCTCCCTTTCAACAAGGCTTCCGCCAGGGCCTTGTTGAAAAGTCTTTTACTACTTCTGCCAGGGAATGTCCACAATAGCCTAACTCATTGAAATCGTCCTTGAAGTCTCATTAGGCATCGGTTATCAACAACAAATAGATCTCACTTTACGCAATTTCTTGAAAATGTTTGATCGGGTGTCGCATAGAAAATTTATCTTCTACGTGCTCTGTCCTATCTGTCTTCTTTCTGAAACGTTCCCTGCGCAAAAAAAGTATACTTATCCTCAAGCAACAACTTAGGCTTTGCAAGAAACAATTGTTTTACTGGATAACAAACTTTCGCACAGACAGGCTACAGTTCGCGGAAATAAACTATGCCCAATCTTCGTTCGTACCGGTGACTTCTGGCACACCGCAAGGTAGCGTAATGGCACCACTATTATTCTTACTTTTTGTTAATGATCTGCCTTCTTAAGTCAATGTTGGACGCAGGTTATTTGCAGATGACTGCATATTGTACAAAAAATAAATTCTCACGATGAACATATCACCTTGAGTATGTCCTTAAAAGCAGTTCAGCTTGGTGCAAGGATTGGCAAAGCACACAAACAAAAAAGTCCATGCTGTTATCCAGAACTAGTAAAAATGTTTATCCGACTTTATTTACGTCCATAATTCAGCCCCCCTACCTAAAGTCGCCAAATATAAGTATTTGGGTGTATTTTATAACAATATCTACGATTGGACGCTTATATTTATTGCATCACATCATCTGCTTAAAAAGATTGCTATTTATAAAAAAGCGATTACAGCAAGCACCACCAAGCACAAAGTTACTGGTCTACAGTACTTTTATCCGCTCTATCCTCGAATACGCGAACACTGCCTGGTTTCCCTACACACACAAAAAAAAACTTACCAGCAAGCTCAAAGGCGTTTAACTAAAAGTGCTTAGGGTCATTTTCAATAAATTTAAAAGGACAGATTGGCCTACACAATTGCTGATGAATGCTGTAATACTAACCACGAAAAAGGGGCAATATTGGCACGTTTAAAGCTCATGTATCAAATGCTACACAGTCGTCTAAGCATAGATAAGTCTCGCTACTTAAAACTGCAGCTAGAACTACCCGACATTATCCCTCTCACACCTTTCATCCTTACAAATTTCACACAGATGCTTTGAAGTTCTCGTTCTTCGCACTTGCGATCAGAGAGTGGAATAACCTGTCTTCCATTACGAGTAGCACATCTTTAGCTACTTTCTCAAAACGAGTAGAAAGCGACTTGTTATCCTCGCAGAATTATTGTGCTTTGTTTTTAAAATGAGCTTGTGTATTCTGGTTTTCTATTTGTTGTTGCATTTGTTGCATTTTCCCCCTTTTGACAGTACTAAACCACTGTCTCGGATTGTTCACTTGTTATAATCCCTCTGGGATGGACAGTAGGTATAAATATAAATAAATATATTGCAAAGTTATAGTGCACAGAAAATACAAGATGTGTCCTGTGTAGTTTTTATTAAAGTAAGTCTCTGAAATTTGAGCTGAATACAGGTTTGTCAAACAATAAGAGCTGTTGGTGACTTCATGCGTACTCGTTTCTTCGATTCACAAAGTAATAATCTTTATGCATGCGTTTAGGCAAGTTTCTGTATGTAGCCTCCTTGCAGAGCGATGCAAAAGGCACCTGAACAGCGCCGGCACCATCGCTCTTACGAAGGGCATACAGACTGAAGAATGCCGCGTGGTGTAGAGTATCTGGAGCCCTCCTTTACAGCGTTTTTATAGCCTGAGTCGCTTTATAGAGCACTAAACTCTACAACCAACCAATCTCGGCTGGGCGTCTGAAGATGAATTAAAAAGCTTCTTCTGATGATTTGTAACATTCACCTGCAATAACAGCCGAAAACTTGTAATCCATTTCCGTTCCCTATTATTTCCATGCGTACAGGACAACTGACATACTCGCGCCCGTGTTTCGCGTATACTCACTGGCGTACAGCTGGTTGTTCCAACCGATGCACATCATCAGTGCTGCAAGAATCGCCAAGGGACGTGCCGACTTAGCTGCCATGTCGGGAAGACGTCCAGGAGAGATCACTCGAAAGAAAAGAGGAAGGCGTGGTCGACAGGAAGTGACCACGACCCTGTAACCCAGATGGTTGCCTTTGGGTAGTACGGGATGATTTCGCTGTGGACCTCTCTTCTCAGCGTCCGGTAGCTCCAAGTCCTTTTCTTACTGTGTGTCTGGTCGATGAGGCATCGAATGCGATGTACAGAGCTCGCACAGTGCGGCCTTGCCTGCCAAGCTCAATCAGTGACCGCGCTAGGCCAGCGCGGCGTTCGTTCGCAACGGCTGTCCGGTCGGCACCGCCTTGTTTTTGAGGCGACGGCTCGATTTATGAGCCGGAACGTTAAGCAGCTTGGCGATCGTGGGCTGCTGGGGAGATGACGTGAGGGGCGAAAATCCCAGGTAAGCTGACAGCGAAAGCATGGTGGCTGCGGTTTGAAAATACGCTGATGGGAGAGGGTACAGCTGGTCTCTGAGGAGGGCAAAAAGCCGGATGTATCTCTGCATAGTTCTGTGCAGCAGGTGAAAGTGAGAGAAAGTTCTGCGTTTCTATACTACACGTTCTAGTACACGTAAATTCGCATCACTCATATCCTAATGGGAAGGTTTTCTTCATAATGATCGTACGTATATACCTACATTAGAATGATAACTAATACGCTTTCACGTCACATACACGGGTCCCAAAAAACTGTCCAATTACGACTTTTATCTGCTGGTCACCCCATGATAAACATATAAGTCAAAAGTGATTAAGAGACCAACCAATTGTTCAAATAATTGACTTAATCATTGGTAAATAGATCACATCACATACGCTCACTCAACTTTAAGTGGACTCCTTCTTTCGCGTCATGCACGGTTGATAGGCTCTGTACTGCTCTACAAAGCATCACTGGAGCATTTCCCTAACACACCTTTTTCTTCATTTTTTAAAACTACGGAACAGCCGAATAAAGTCACTAATAGGACTGACATGCTACGTTTTAGTCAAGAGACGACTAAGACCCAGAAAGCATGACCTATCTTGGATTTGTCGACGTCTATGGTTTTACCCCGGGAAAGATTATTGAGAATATTGACCTTACGTGCGCTTAATAGCCTTTGGCCTAACAATGACCAGATAATACAGAAAAGTGCTCAAATATAACTGTGTTTGTTTCCCTTGCTATAATGTTCTCATCGCTTTTTGTTAGAGTATCTTGTATGGCCTTGACGCCACCTCGCAAGCCATTTCGAGATCGTGATACGTAAGGCTGTTTGTTGACGAATATAAAAGACGTTGTTGAAGGTATTCAAGAACAGCCATTGTATCCACGTAAAACAGAGCACGTGAAGCACTCTGATGAAGAGGAACAAGAGCAGATATGTTTTTTAATAACGTCGTGATAAACCACGTTTTTGTTTTTCCATGTTCCTTCAAAGTGAATTATTCGCACCAACATACCAGTATATATCGCGCTATAAACCTGGCAACATTCACACGGCTGCAAGCTTGATTTGTGATTGGTCACGCGTACGAGCCAGCCAACCACGAATCAGTGTAAGAATTGATGCTTATTTCAGGCTTTCAAACTTAACACAGCATCGGCGGCGGTAATGGCCTACTATAGTTGTCTTGCGTTGTAATTGTTACCTACAGTTGTCTCTCAATTTAATTTTTCATTTGTGCTTAGATAACGTGCTACTTGTCATGAAGGAAAGAAGCCTAAACTTAAGAACTCGTTTTTTCGTTAGACATAATAATAATGATAAATGACAGACCATTATACCATGTGAAGTATAGGGTTTGTTATTCGAAGTAAGTGGGAAGAAAACAAACTGGATGAAAAGATAACCTGCCGTGGGCATCGACCGAACCTACTATCTTCAAATAACGCATCCGATCATATACCAGCTGATTCACCACAGCGGCTATCCTTTTATCCACTTTATAGAGTACGTATGTGCATTTAAACGTGGGAGCATCAGTCAGCACCACTTGTCGCCATTGCAGCGAGTGTGGGACACTCATTTTTTCTTGTTTGTCGGCGTCACGTAGTGCGTGATCCTATTACGAGCTGGCAGCTGACCAATAATCCCTCGCATACCACCTTAAAAGTAATAAGTCTGCCAGAACGAGAACCTCGATGTAGATGAAGGAAAGAAGGAAGCATCACGTGATACGCGGTGCCAACAGGCAAAAAAAATTGAGTGCCCCACACTCACTGCAATGGCAACAGGCGACGCTCACTGGCGCTCCCACGTTTAATGCACATACATGCCCTATAAAGTGGATAAAGGGATAGCCGCCGTGGTAAGTAAGTTGGTAGATCATCGGGTGCGTTATTCGAAGGTCGTATGTTCAGTCCCTGCCCACGGCAAGTCATCTTTCCGTCCACTTTTGTTTTTTTCACCATTACACAACAATTATTTCTAATCAAATACTCCATACTATCCATGGCGTAATTGTCTGCCAGCTCTCCTTATTATATTACCTCTAGAGTAATTCCAAGCGTGACTTCATTATTGACGCATCTCATACAAACGTAACTTCCCGCAATACAGTGTTCCATATTGCTAGTGCTTCGCTATGTATGCAGAATCATACCTTATATGTCCAAATAAACTCAACCCTGTCTCGCTGAGTGCTCGTGTAATGAAAGGCAGGAAGTGTTTGCCAGCTGGCTCTACTTTTTTGCACAGAATACGCTTGTAGACTGCTCTTGCTCCAGCTCTCAAGGACTATCGGGACCTCATCGTAGACAGTAACTTGAGGCGATTACGAGAATGATAAGAACTATTTTAGAGGCAAAGCTCCTTAAGGCATAGTCTTGTCCGCCGTTGTTGTCTGTCGTGTACACTAGGTGGTGCTCGCATCGCTAGTACTCGAGTCAATCCCTAGAGGGTGCGGAGACGTGCGCTGCGTCTGAGATGTTTCGAGAAACAGACAGACAGAGAGACAGACGGACAGTCGAACAGACAGACGAATGAACCAAACTCTTTCGCCATCATTTTCTTCGTGGATATGGCGTATTGGCTAGGCAAAATTTATGGATGTTTCACGGTTTTCCGATGTATCACCGGAGTTTCGCCCACTCATCCTCATTAGCTTCGTCCCTGCAGGGGCGTCTGTGAGAGCAGGCGTTTGGTGCCTAGCGCCACAATGGACCCGAGCTTACGGGGGAGTTTTGATTCCCTCCCACACATAGCCGTGCGTGGCTGAGCCGTGTCCAGGGATAAGGGGATCCTGGGGGTTGAGCCGACGCCGGGTGATTAAATCTTTAATCCCCCCTCCCGCCCGACAGAGGCAACACACCCCTTTGGCCCCGGCTTCACATAGAAGGTGCACCAGGACTGACCCACCCCGAGGAAATAAGCTGTTGCCTTTTCCTGTCTCTCTTTCTACATCTTCGTCTTTGCCATCAGTTTTTATCTTTCTCGTGTTCTTGCTTCTTCCTTTTACTTCCAATTTTCCTGGCTGTAAGGTTTAACCCTGTACAAATATCCTACCTTGGTGTAGGTACATTGTGTTATAGTGGCATTGTACGACTGACGTCGGCAAGTTTTTAGTATTTACAAACTTGTAGCGTCCCCTCGTTGGGCTCCATGGTGGGTGGTTGCCAATGCTGCTGAATAAAAATAAATCCGGCATGCATAGAGCATTCCACTTGCTTACCGATCGTACCGGCTTGAAGTGCGCACCGATGACAAACTTTTTTAACCAGACAACAGAAACTTTTTTTCACTCTCACGTCATGAACTTTGAGAAAACTGGAAAGCAAGCGAGAAACGTATCTCTTTTCGTATTTACCAGGTGTCATACCGAAACTCTTGGCACTGGATACAAGGTAACCAAAATAACTAGCGGAGTTCTCCTCCTCAAAATTCGGGACAAAGAGCAATTTGAAAAGCTAGACCGTCCCTCAACTTTCGGTGGCATATTCACCGCAACACCGCTCAGATCAATGAACATGACTCGCGGAGTGATATATGACACGGACTTACTTGAACTTACCGAGACTGAACGTTCGGAGGGGTGGAAGAGCCAAATGGTGACCAATGTATAGAGAATTATCATCAGAAGAGTATGACCTTGGCTCTAATAGCTGCCGTGGTCGCCAGACCTGTGCACATTGTGGAGCCCTGGGGCACATGTCTGCGAACTGCAACGAGCAGCCGCACTGTGTAAACTGTGACGGAAACCATGCTGCATATTGACGTTCCTGTCCATACTGGAAGAAAGAAAATGACATAACAACGCGTGAAGTGAAAGAAAACATTTCTTTTAAGGAAGCAAGGAAAAGCGTCTCGCAATTTTATGGCTCAACATATGCTGATGCTGTACGTCAGGGGGCACCGCCATACCATCCCTACCTTGGGCTCACGCATACCGAGCCGGCGGTTGTGGCACTTGTCCCCAAAGCGGCTGTAGTCCAGACTTTTTTGCCTACTGCAGAACAGAAACCGGAGACTCTAGGGTCCTAAGGTCTCAAAGCCTCGCCTCCTCAGGTCAGGCCCAGAATCGGAACTATACTAGCCCGCACGTGCGGGAATTCAGTGCCTCCGAGGAGGGAATGGATACGTCGGTACCCTTGGTGCCGAAAGAGCGGCGTGGCTTTTTAGAGCGCGTCAAGAAAACAAAAAAGCAGATAGCAGGGCCTGGTGATGGTCCTGTTACTTGAATTCAAACTTCCCGCCTGAACAGCCACTCACTCTTTGTACAAAAAGCACTACTTTGCTTTCACCATGAACGCTGAAATAATACTATGGATCGTCAGGGCCTCCTCAGGAACCTTGACGATGTCCAAGAACGTCTACACGAACACTCACAAAAATTGCTGTGTGTACAAGAAACACACTTAAATCCAAAACACACCAACTTTCTTCGTAAACACGAAGTTTTCCGAAAGGACCGCGATGATGCCGTGACATCATCCGGAGGGGATGCCATATCATAGTGAATCAAGGGATTACATGCACACACTTTCTACTCCGAACATCCCTTGAGGCAGTGGCTGTTCGAGCTGTGCTTTTCGACAAACTGATCACAATTTGCATTCTTCACGTACCTCCAAACTATCACCTACAAAAACATTTCTTCCAGACTTTAATCGATGAACTTCCAGAACCTTTTGTTCTTCTTGGAGACTTGAATACGCATAGCAGGCTATGGTGTGACTCACGTTGTGACGCCTGAAGTTGACTGATTGAACAGTTTCTTTTTTCGTTCCAGCGCTTGTCTCCTGAGTTGAAAAGAACCAACCTATTATAACCTCA